AGAAAAACAAAAAAATGAAATAAAACTCAAATAAAAATCTGAGGAATTAAAGTGAAAACTTCAGAGGAAAGCTTCACTAATAGATTGGGTCAAATGGAAGAGAGAAAATTAAGTCTTGAAAGCAAGATAGAAGAACTGGATTACACAGTAAAAGGAAATATAACATCACCAAACACCATGAGAGCATATAAAAACTCTGGTACAGTATAAAAAGACCAATCCTGTGAGTTATAGGTATAGAGGAATAAGAAGAGACCTAGGTCAATCAATAGCCCAGAAAGCATTTTCAATGAAGTCATAGAAGAAAACTTTTCTAATCTACAGAAAGAGATGACTATCAAGGTCTAAGAGGCATTTCAGAAAGCCAAATATACAGGATCAGAAAAGAAGCTCTCCATATTATGTTATAGTCAAAACAATAAATGTACAGAATAAATAAAGATATTGAAAGCTGCAAGGAAGGAAAACAGAATTGCCTATAAAGGCAGGCCTGTTTCACTTTTTCAGTGGAGATCAATGAAAATTGTAAGAGCTTAGATTAATGTTCTATAAGTTATTAAAGACTGCAGATGCTGACCCAAGCTATTATACCTGACAAATTATCAATATTAATCCAGGGATAAAGGAAAACTTTCCATGATAAAAATAGATTTAAAGGGCTGGGGAGATGGCTCAGCAGTTAAGAGCACCAGATGCTCTTCCAGAGGACTTGAGTTCAATTCCTAGCACCCACATGGCAGCTCACAACTGTCTATAACTACAGTTCCAGGAGCTCTGATATCTCATGTAGATGTGAATGTAGGCAAAGCACCAATGCACATAAAATAAAAAACCTTAAAAATAGATTTAAAAATTTATGATCACTATAGAGAATACTGTAGGGAATCCTTAGATCTGAAGACAAGGTTAAACATACCCAAGAAGGCACAAGGAATAAAGAAATAATTCCAGAACATTAAAATAAAAGTGGCCTAATAAAGCACCATAAAACAAAATTTGATGGGACTTAATATACATTATTTAATAGTAATTCTTAATATTAATGGTACCAACTTTCCAATAGAAACACAGGCTAATAGATTGGATTAGAAAACAGGCTAATTATTAACAGGATTATCTTTTTTGTCTAAGAAAAATACCTCATAAAAATAAATAGCTCATTTGTTCGAACATGAGACTCTTAATCTCAGGGTTGTGGGGTTGTGCCCCACATTGGCCACCATATGTGGTGGATGTTTCTGTCCTGCCAGAAACTCCAAATACCCAACAGCTGCTTCTCAAATTACCATGTAGGGGCTGATATTACTTATAAATGCTCAGCTGACAGCTCGGGCTTATTACTAACTAGCGCTTACACTTAAATTAACCCATAATTCTTATCTATGTTTAGCTACATGGCTTGGTACCATTTCTCAGTATGGTATTCTTATCTTGCTTCCTCTGTGTCTGCCTGGTGACTTCTGACTCTGCCCTTCCTCTTCCAAGCATTCTTAGTTTGGTTGTCCTGCCTATACTTCCTGCCTGGCTCTTGGCCAATAAGTGTTTTATTAAACCAATTTGAGGAGGACCCAATTCCTATGAAAGAAGCACTATAAGGTATAAGTTATACAGCAGACTGATCTCTGTAAATTGATATTGGTGATTTCAATACTCTACTCTCACCAATAGAGAGGTCATCTAAAAAAAAGTAAACAGAGAAACTCAGGTTAAGTGACATCATAAATCAAACATATCAAAGAGATGTCTTCAGACTGTTACATACAAATAGTAAGGAATAAACATTCTTTTTCTTGGAGTTTTCTCCAAAATAGACTACATATTAGGACACAAAGGAAGTCTCAACAAATATAAGAAAACTGAAACTATATCCCACATTCTATCTGATCACAGTGGAATAAAGCTAGATATCAACAGCAACTGAAACCATAGGAAGTATACTCATGGAAACTAACCACCACAGAACTGACTCATAATCGGGTCAAGGAAGAAATCAAGAAGGAAAATTTAAAAATTCCTACAGTTGAATGAAAATGAAACTACAACATACCAAAATGTATGGGAAAAAAAATGAAAAGAGTCTTAAGAAGAAAGTTTACAGCACTATATGCTTAGATAAAAGCTGTTAAGATCTCCAATTCATAACTTAATGATGTACCTGAAGGTCTTGTAAAAACAAGAACAAACAATACCAAAAAAAAAATAAACAAAAAGTAGATGACAAAGAATCAATGAAACAAAAAGTTGGTTCTTTAAAAAATTTAAGCCAGGCCAGGCAGTGGTGGCGCACGCCTTTAATCCCAGCACTCGAGAGGCAGAGCCAGGAGGATCTCTGTGAGTTCGAGGCCAGCCTGGGCTACCAAGTGAGTTCCAGGAAAGGCGCAAGCTACACAGAGAAACCCTGTCTCAAAAAAAAAAAAATTTAAGCCAGGAGGTGGTGGCACATGCCTTTAATCCCAGCACTCAGGAGGCAGAGGCAGGTAGATCTCTGTGAGTTTGAGGCCAGCCTGGTCTACAAAGTGAGTTCCAGGACAGCCAGGGCTACACAGAGAAACTCTGTCTTGCAAAACCTAGGGGGGAAAAATAAAAAGTTTAGCAAGACGGAGAAGCCTTTAGCCAAATTAACTGGAAAAAAAAAGATACCTGGGGCCATTCAATATTTTGAACTAAGAATCTATGCTTCTTTTCAGCTGTAGCTGAAGAACTGGCTATGAGACAAGAACCACTGAAGGGCAACTTTTGCTTTGTGGGGACAGTCAATACTGGCCCACTGGGGCTGAAGCACCAGCTGTGATTAAGAAGAGGCCAGCATCATTAAGGCAAAATCTTCTGAGAAGTGTTAGGATCAACACACAAAAGCTGTGGTCTAGAGGGAGCCAAGATGTACCTTGTGCTGGCCACTGAACTTGGTAATGGGTAAGAGTTTCCTAGGTGGTGTTGTTTTTAAAGGTGTGAAGGGGTTGTGGAGAAGAGTTGAGACATTGTACTATGTGACAAGGTTAGAGTCGCTGAAGAGAGCTCAAGAGAGGCTATTGGCCAAGGTACAGCCCAGTTGTAGCAGAGACCCCAGCATTTTGGAAATGCCACTACCATGGGATGAGCACTAAGGACACAGCAACTGTAGAGCAGAGGTGGCCTGTGCCTAAGAGACAAGCTGTGTCTGCTGCTTAAAGCAGAGCAGGAGAAATGGGGCCCTCTGGACCCCGGAAGACCGTGACACTGAGCTTCACCCTGGTGCACTTGAGTTTTGCTTTGACTCGGTTGTGACTGTGCCCTCATTCTCCCTTTCCAAGCAAGAAAGTACTTCACTTACTTTTAATTTATTTTATTTAACTTTATTTTATGTGCATTGATAATGAAGATGTCAGATCTCCTGGAACTGGAGTTACAGACAGTTGTGAGCTGCCATGTGGGTGCTGAGAATTGAACCTGGGTCCTCTGGAAATGCAGCCAGTGCTCTTAACAGCTGAGCCATCTCTCCAGAACCCTTAACTAATTTTTGATATTATAGGAGCCCACAGTTGAAAGACTTAAAATTTTTAGAGAGACATGACAATTTTAGAGAGATTTTGGACATTTTAGAGAGATTTTGGATGTTGAAAGAGACTTTGGATGATTTAAAGAGACAGAACTTTAAAGTGTTTGGGTTTTTAAAGTCACTGGGACTTTTAAAAGTTAGGATGTTTGTTATTGTGATGTCAATATTGACATGACATCTTGGGGGATAAGCAGAAAGGGACTTGTGCGTCAAGTTGATAAGGGCTCGATTGTGAGGCATGGTTTTATGTCAACTTTACACAAATAGAATCATTTGGGAAGGGGGAACTTCAATTGAAAAAAAATGCCCCTGTCACTATTCTGTTGCTGTGAATAGACACTATGGCCACAGCAAATCTTAGAAGAGAAAGCATTTAATTGGGGGCTTATTTTATTTTTGTGTATATACTTACTATACAGTATAAGACAAAGTTTCAGCCCCAAGTATCTATTTGAGAGCTTGTTTTTCTTAGTTGCTTCTTCACTGAAGAAACCCCATTCTTCCTTCCATGTAATGCAAGGCATTAGCATCCCCTTTCACCATCTTTGCCTATTTCTCCATTTTTCCATTTGTTCCATATTGTATTTCCTTGGTGTACTGGAACTTGTTTTTCAGAAAACTTGGTATTGCAATTGACTGTATTGCCTATTCTGTATATGCAAAACTGTGATGCTGTTCCCCCCTCTCTCCTTATTTTTACAAGAGGGGTCCCCTTTGGGGGTCTTAGTCTCATTAATAAGTTTGTCTCATTTTCTCTCTGGTTCCATGAATGGCTCCACACCAAATGTACCAGCTACCTGGTCATGTGACCTCATTGGGTGGGTGGGGGTCTACTTCTGTATTTGACACCCATTGAATGGTACCTGGAAAGTAGATGAGGGATCCTTAAAAGATACCCACATATTAGGTTATGGGAGATGCTAGGTCAGACTTTTCATCTGTTCTTTTTGGGGGATGAGATTAGGGATTCCTAGTTTACCTTGTTTGCATATTGGCCAATGAAGCATATATTTTATGGCATAATAGACTAGATCATGAAGATTTTGCTCAGTGATATGATTGTCCATGAGTCTGTGAGTGTTGGACATCTACAGTAGCTGACCTCCCTCTTGGGCTGTCTAGGATGGAAGGAGAAAGAAGAGTATGAATGAATCTATCTGTTATGTACTTGCTTCATGATCCTCGAATGGATTAGACCTCACCAAACATTTAGCATGAAACTCAAACTGCTGCCCTCTGAGACTGCCTTCCCCTTTAACTTCCTTTTGCTTTGAGGTTTTGAATTTTGAAGGGGAGTCTCCTTCCTAGCAGCTGCCCTGCTGTTCTCTGGGGATCATAGCCAGGTGAGGGCAGCAAGAGTGGTGTCTGGTGGTGGCTTCTTGTGTTTCTCCCTTGGTTCCCATCCTAGTCTAAGCTCAGACTCAGCAAAGGAACTGGAATCTGGGCCTGTGCTTACCATGAGAATATGAAGCAGGTGGCAAGAGTGACTGTACTCCTGACTCTGGGTGAGTTATTTTTGGACTACAATGAAAGGGGACCTGGGCTTGAGGATGCTAGACAGGGATCTTCAGTTGGCAGGCAACTGTCCTTTATTCAAGATGTCCGGGAAAGCTTTGTGGTGTTATTTTGTGCTGGTAGTTACTCGGCCTTTATTTGAAGTGTCTGTTGGGGGTACTAAAGGTGTTTGGGGTTACCGATCACTCGCATCCATGTTAGGGAGGGAGAAAGTAAACTGGTACCACTGTACCTGTGATCCTGGCATCTCTTGAATAAGAGGAAAGGATAGTTTTGTCCTGAAACACAAATGGGAAGTAAATTGGGTACATGTGTATGGTTGGCAGGAAGAGTCAGGGGTAGGTCCATATGAGAAAGAGCCATGTTAACTGCATGGGGGCTTCTAATTATCTTGTCCCAGGACGGGAATGAGGATTCTGTTTACTCCCACAGCCACATGGAGCCTTGCTAAGACCACCCAGCCCCTCTCCATGGACTCCTATGAAGGGCAAGAAGTGAATGTGTCCTGCAGCCACACAAACATCGCTACAAACGAGTACATCTCCTGGTACCGGCAGGTCCCCCATCAGGGACCACAGTTTATTATTCAAGGATATAAGGTCCATGTGGCAAATGAAGTGGCGTCTCTGTTTATTTCTGCGGACCGGAAGTTCAGCACTCTGAGCCTGCCCCAGGTTTCCCTGAGAGACACTGCTGTGTACTACTGCATCATGGCTGACACACAGTGAGATAGCTGGGTCTGCACCTGTGCAACATCCTGTGGCAGGGTGGCAGTCATAGTCTAGAGGGAAGCATAGACCCAGTGCTTTCCAAAGTGCCATGGCAGGGTGGCAGTCATAGTCTAGAGGGAAGCATAGATCCAGTGCTTTCCAAAGTTCCAAAGTGCCATAGCATTTTCATTTTTAAAAGGTGTAAGCACACATTCTTATTGTTACCTAACTTTTTTCATGTCATTTAATTTTAAATAGGCATTTCAGTTAGGTGGTGTAAAATTTAACAATTAAGAGGGCAGGGGCTGGAGAAGTGGCTCAGTGGTTAAGAGTTCTTGTTGCTCTTGCAGGTCTATATACAGCAAAGCCCTCATACACCTAAAATAAAGAAGTAAGAGAGTGCATAGACTACAGTACTGTTACCCCACAAGAGTCCTGACCACTTGTGGTCTCAGTGAGGGCATGTGCGGTGCTTATGTTCTTCTTCTCAGCTAACCCAGAGACTTTAGTTTCGGAGTGTAGATGTGAACACATGTGCACACACGGATATTACACACTTGCTATGCATACAGAGTATGTAAAATACATGCCTCAGTTTTTGAAAAGTGTAGCCTGCCAGATTGTCATTTATAATCACACAGATTTTGAACATTTTATGGCTGTGTTCAGTGTGGTTCCCCAAGTTTAGATCCCTCTTCCTTCCCCTTCCTCCCTGATGTTGTTTGTTTCCCGACACTTTTTGTAACTGCTGCATAAATGAGAACAAGGATGATGGTAGAGCAGGGGATGGAGAGGGTTTTGCTTCTGGTTAACATACAGGATTGTGTGTGTGTGTGTGTGTGTGTGTGTGTGTGTGTGTGTGTGTGTGTGTGTGTGAGACAATGTCTCACTGTGCCAAGCGGGGCCTGAACTTGCCATTTTCCTGCCCCAACTTTCTGAGTGCTTGGGTGAAGAGTGTTTGCTGACACATCTATAGATTATTTTGTAATATGGAATCAGATTCTGGGTCATTGTTATTTTGGCATCTTGTTAGAGGTACTGCGGCTTTATCAAGACCATGTGGGTAGGGCCACTGGTTTTGACAACAAGGAAAGCATGTGATGGTGTTTTCTGTTCAGTCTAATGGGGCTAGACATTGGGTGGGGGGTGCTTCTGTCTCACCCCTCAGAATTTGATGGGGAAATATTATGAAAAGAAAAAAATTACTTTAGAGCATTAGAGATCACAAATTCATCTTTTGTTAACATTTTATTTCTCTTTTTAGTGTGTGTGTGTGTGTGTGTGTGTGTGTGTGTGTGTGTGTGTGTGTGTGCGTGTGTGTTTATGTATAGCTCTGGCTGTCCTGGAACCTGCTTTGTAGACCAAGCTGGCCTCAAATTCACAGAGATCTGCCTGCCCCTGCCTCCCAAGCGTAGAGATTAAAAGTATGCCCCACCACTGTCTGGTTTTGTTAACATTTTCCTAAGCAGGAGTGAGCAGTTTACAAAAAGTTGAGCAGAGCCTGGGGACTGAATGTCTAGGATATAGCCAGGCATCACAAATTTAGAATAGGACACGGGTTTAGGTTTTGTCACTGCTTTGAGTATATTATAGGTGAACACACAATCTCAGGTGTGTGTGTGTGTGTGTGTGTGTGTGTGTGTGTGTGTGTTTTATAAAATGCTTCATAAAAACACAGAATAGGGCCTGGAGAGATGGCTCAGGGATTAAGAGTATTTACTGCTGCAACACTTGGGACAGCAGGCCCTGCACTTTGCCTGGGCAGCACAATAGAACCAATCTTGTTGGCAGAGGTATGGGTGAGCCAGCCCCGAAGTTTTAAGCATTGGAGAGCGGTCCCTATTACTCATTGGAATCGGTGGTGGAGATATGTCCCCCACCTCCGCCCATCAACACTTGAAGCAGGTGGGAGAGCTGGCCCTAAAGTCATAAGAAGGGGAGAGCTAGCCCTGCCCCTCATCTGCTGCAGCATTCGGGAGAGTGTCCCTATGCCATGCCTGGGCAACACAGTAGAGCTGGCCCTGAAGGTGTAGGTTTGGGAGATCCAACCCTCAGGATGTGAAAGCAGGAGAACCTGCCCTGCCATTGCTCATCACTGCAAGGGATGAACTCGCCCAGGCAATGCAGGAGAGTTCACCCTGAGAGCTGGTGGGCAGACAAAACCTGCAACCACCCAGGCCCAGAACCAGAGTTATGAGTTGGCCCACCCTAACATTCACCCCATCTGTGGTCTTCTGGAGCACATGAAGACACTGGTCCTGCAGACCCAAAGCTGCATGATTTCCACAACATAGAGCTACAGCCAAATATCCAAGAGGAGTCCCAGTGAGGGCCCAGCATTGATAGTGTAGCAGAAACCAGAGGCCTGGAACCAGACCTATGACTCTTTGCAGTGAACACTTGCAAGTAAAGATACATGGACAAAAGGCTTTACTGTGTGACTTACTGTGTCATACTACAGCTTCCATGATGAGAACCCCCCCCTTTTTCCTTTTTTCTCTGAAATTTTATTGGGAGGGGGCTGAGATGCAAGAGCAGAAGGCAGGATATGCAGGGATGGGAAATGAATGGGATCAATATGCATGATGTGAAAGACACAAAGAATAAATAAAAAGAAAGTTAAAAAAAGAGTACTTGCTGCTCTTCCAGAGGCTCCAAGTTCAATTTCCAGAACCCACATGGTGGCTCACAATCACCTGTAACTCCAGTTCCAGGGATCTGACACTCTTTTTTAGCCTTAGAGGGCCCTAGTCACATATATACATACATACATACATACATACATACATACATACATACATACATACACACATACATACATACATACACACAGATATACATGCATAGATACACACACATACATAGATACACACATATATGCACAGATATATACATAATAATACATATATAAACATACAAAATATATACATAAAGGGAAAACACTCATTCACATAAAATAAAAATAAATAAAAAATCAGAATACATGACTAATATTTCTTTTTTTTGTTTTTAATATAATTTTTAATTAAAACCTTTTTCTTTTCTTTTACAAACCAACCCCTGTTCCCCCTCCCTCCTCTTCTTTTGCCACCCCCACATACCCCATCCCACCCCCACCCCCTCCTCATAGAGGGTAAGGCCTCCCTTGGGTAGTCAACACAGGCTCTTATACCATATTGGGGATGGACCTAGCCCCTCCCCGCTGCATCAAGGTTGAGTAAGGCATCTCACCATAGGGAATGGAGTCTAAAAAGCCAGTTCATGTACCCAGAATAAGTCCTGGTCCCATTGCCAGAGGCCCCACAAACACATCAAGCCATGCAACTTTTACCTACATTCAGAGGGCCTAGTTTTTGGTCCTATGCAGGCTCCCCATCTGTCAGTCCAGAGTCCATGAGCTCCCACTAGCTTGGGTCAGCTATTTCTGTGGTTTTTCCCATCATGATCCTGACCCTCCCTTGCTCTTTATAATCCTTCCTCCCTCTCTTCAATTGATCTCCAGGATCTTGGTCAAGTGCTTGGCTGTGGGTTTCTGCGTCTGCTTCCATCAGTCACAGGATGTAGGTTCTAAGATGACAATTAGGATAGATACTAATATGAGTTCAGGGATAGGCTAGTTCAACAATCATCTCCACCACTTCTATGAGCCTTAGCTGGGGACAATCTTGAGGGTTCCTGGGGTTTTCCCTAGCTGCAGATTTCTCCCCATCCCCTTAACGGTACACTCTGTCCAGATAACTCTTTCATTGTTCTCCCTCCCTGTCTCTCCCCCATGTTCCCACCTCCCATCCCCCCATGCCATCCCCTCTATTCCCCCCTCTCAGATTACCCAGAGATCTTAATCCTTTCTTCTTCCCAGGGAGATCTATTTGTGTCCTTCTTAGTGTCTTCCTCTTTACCTAGCTTCTCTGGGGTTGTGGATTGTAGCCTGGTTATCCTTTGCTTTGTATCTAACATTCACTTATGAGTGAGTACATACCATATTTGTCTTTCTGGGTCTGGGTTACCTCACTCAGGATGATTTTTTCTAGTTTCATTCATTTGCCTACAAATTTCATGATGATGTTTTTTACCGCTGCGTAATACTCCATTGTGTAAATGTACCACATTTTCTTTATCCATTCTTCTGTTGAAGGGTATCTAGATTGTTTCCATGTTCTGGTTATTACAAATAATGCTGCCATGAACATGGTTGAGCAAATGTTGTTGAATGTATTCTTGCACCCATCTCTTCCTCCAATTGGTGCAAATGGTGTCTGTGTCTCAGGGAGCCACTCTTGGTCCAGTTGGCACTGTCAGTGTTTGTGTCTCAGGAAGCTGCTGGGGTCTCCAGTGAGTAGGTGGGTTTGAGGGACAGAGTGGGGCTTGTAGATTGCAGGGTCCAATAGGGGGTTGTGATGGGAACACCTGCCCTCAGGATTCTTGCCCTGCTGGCCTGCAACTGGGCCTGCAGTGGGTGGGGGTATGTGGGCACAGGTTGTGCCTCTGGGCCTAAAGTCTAGAGGCTGGGGTGATTGGCTGGGAGAACAATGACTCACCTCTTGGTCCAATCAGAGCTGGCAGATTCTGTGTCTCAGGTAATAGCTCTGGTCTCAGGGGATGGGAGGGTTTCGGGGGGCAGAGTGGGGCTTGTAGGTCCAATGGGGGGGGTGGTAGTGGTCAGACCTGCCTGCAGGAGTCCTGCCTGCTGGCCTGCAACTGGGGCTGCAATCTCCACTTGATTTCTTATACAATCCATGACCACTTGCTGAGGGATGGCACCACCCATAGTGAGCTGGACTCTTTCACATCAATAAATGCCCCAAACATTTGCTGACATGCCAGTCTGACAGATTCTCAATTGAAGTTACCTCTTCTCAAATGACCCTGGCTTGGGTCAAGTTGACAAACAAGCTAACTAGCACAGTGACTTAGCCACATTTATTAAAGGATGATCCACAACACTGCCTATTTCCTGGGACTGGGAAAATACCAGATATTGAAAGAGCAAAGCCCACAATATCATAAATATGACATATTTTGTGACTCTCTGTCTCCTAGCCCAATATTTGTGCTTAAATTCTTTCCATAGATGTAGTTTTTCCTCTGTGAGAGCTGAATCAAGATGGCCCGCCCAGCTGGTTGCTATTGTTATCAGTTTTAAAAATGGAAGAAGGAGGAAGAAGAATTTTACTTTTATTTGCTTAGTGGACTAGATGATTCCCTGATTTCAAACAGGCCAATCCTGTTGCTCAATAAGCATCACTTACGAGAACTTACTTAAACTCTACTCCCAGCTTATTTAAGGGAACTCAGTAGTGTGCAGAGAACATGCAATTCAATTCTGTGCTCTCTCTTTTCACTGTATTTGTTTTCTGCTACGAGATGCCAGTTTTAATATTGGACATGCTTGCAACCTTGCTTCAGTGACTTGCTATTTAGTGTGTCAGAATATCCTGGAGATACAGGCTCAAAGAGGATTGGAGCCGCTGGTTCAGCAGGTAGGAACTGTCCACCAGGTGGCAGAACATCTCTGTTGCTGCAAACTTAACCAAAGGACTTAGACTTCTGAAAGAGCAGCTGCAGTCAGCAGCCTTCTGTGCAGACAACTGAAGAACCTGCAGTGCTATGGAGGACAGAGGAGGAGAGCTGATCACAGAAGCATCTTGCCTGACTGAAGGCCACAGTCCTCAGGGAGAGCAATGAAGACACTGACTGGACCTTTTGTCCTGTGCTTGTGGCTGCAGCTGAACTGTGAGTGAGAGCTTTTGGGAAACAAGGCATTTGGCAATGTTCATTATCAGTCTGAGGGGTGGACTGGTTCCTCTAGATTGACTGAAATCACCGTGGGAAGAAAAGCAAAGTCTGGGGAACGGTGGCCTGACGGTCTTCCTGCTGTTTTCTTTTGCACAGGTGTGAGCAGAGGAGAGCAGCTGGAGCAGCAGCCTTCTCTCCTGAGTGTCCAGGAGGGAGACAGCGCCGTTATCAACTGCACCTACACAGCCAGTTCCCCTTCTTACTTCTCCTGGTACAAGCAGGAGCCTGGGGCAGGTCTCCAGCTCCTTATAAATGTTTTTTCAAATGTGGACAGAAAAGAAGAACAAGGACTGATTGTCCTCCTGAAGAAGAAGGACAAACAACTCTCCCTGAACTTCACAGCTGCCCATCCTGAGGACTCAGCCACGTACTACTGTGCAGCAAGTGCACAGTGCTCCCCAGGCATCCGCTGCCTGTGCATAAAACTGAGACTAGGGCTGGAGAAAAACTTAAAAAAAATTTGAGATAGAAGATTTTTCACCTTGTAGTTTTAGTATAGGAACATAACCCCAAAGTTAGCTTCAAGTTGACCTGAAAACATTTTGAAGAACATTTTACTTATCATGATTTCTTTTTAAATTAAAGAAATTAATTTTTTTATTTCATGTATTTGAGTATTTTGTCTGCATATATGTCTGTCTGTCACTTGTGTGCCTTGTGGTGGCTGAGGCCAGAGAGGGCATAGGATCCCCCTGGAGCTGGAGTTACAGATGGTTATGAGATGCCGTGTGGGCTCTGGAAATCAAACCTGGGTCCTCTGGAAGAGCAGACAATTCTCTTAAACCTTATTCTTCTTTTATTCTTCAATATTTCTGTTAAGTATTCCCTTTATTCTATTTTGAAGACCAGATGGCTAAACACCATGAATGATAAACTGATGTGTATTACATGGCAAAGACAGCTGTATAATGCCTGGGCTAGCTAAATTTGGGATTACCTTGGTTTTTCTTACTATATAATCTTTTCATTTCAATTTACTTCTCTCTCTCTCTCTCTCTCTCTCTCTCTCTCTCTCTCTCTCTCTCTCTCTGTCTCTCTCTCTCTGTCTCTCTCTCCTTCTTTTCTTGTGTGTGTGTTTTGATACAGGGTCTCACTATGTAGCCACTGCTGGCCTGCAACTTGCTATGGAGACCAGA